CGCTCCAGGGCGCCGCCTGCGGAGCGCGGGCTGCCGCGACAACGTGAGCGAGGCCGCCTCCGCTCCTCCGCTCCTCCTCGCCGCCACACCTCAGCTGGGCGCCCAGACTCCCCTGCCAGCAGCACCGCCGTCCAGATCTAGGCACATTCTTTGATTAAAAAAACAAAGCAAATCGCGCCATTTCTATCAATCGCGCACACAAGCCTCTAACCATGGGAGCCTACTACATAGGCTTTTCCACTTGTGCCTTACTGCACTTCACAGCTGGAGAGATGCCCTATCGGCATACTGAGTGCCCCCTTGTCCTTTAAAAACTTTTTTTTTTCTTTGGATGTTTTGAGCAAATGTATTTGAATATAAAACGGTCTACACAGTGGAAAATACCCTTCTCTCCTCCATTCGCCAGCTACCATGTCCTTCCTCATGGGCTTTACTACGCAGACACACCCACACACACACAGGCACGCACACGCATGCGGTGACCCCCAGGGCTGTCCCCCGAGCCCCGTGGTAGGTCTTTCCAAATGGCTCCGGCCACCCAGCAGGGACCCCTGCCGGGTCCCAGCCTGCCCACGCAGACCCGCCTTCCACCGCTGGGCGCTGACCTCTCCAGCAGACCCTCAGCTCTGGGCTCCTGCTCCTCCTCCTCACCCTCACACGCTTTTATTCCCTGGAATGACTGACAAATCGAAGCCTTCCCAGCTGCCTTCTGAGCTCCAGGCATCAGTGAGCACGCCGTCAGTGTGCCCACGTCCTGTCCAACGAGCTGCTCTCTGGAAGGTGCCTGGTAGCCACCAAACGCGTCGACGTCCCTCATGCGGGTTGCGCAGAGTCAGAGTCACGCTGCCCCACGCACGTCCTCCACCGCGTCTGGTGGCTCCCAGATTTTCCAAGCCCCCAGGATCCATCCTCTTGTCCAATCTATGTAAGAACGGCACCGTTTTCCTGGCTTCTGATCTAGAGTATAGCTTCTGGACCTTTTTCTTGGGACACTGTCTTTCCTCACTCCAATGTACCTGTTCAGTTTTATTTTAGTTTGACCCTAGTTTGTTCAGTGTCCACTGCTATCCATCTAGGAACAGATCCTGCAACCTGACCACTGGGTTGCTGATGCCTGGTCAGCCTGGAAGGTTTCTCCCCATCAACTCCACCATTTGCTCTCACTGGCCCCAAGCTTTTCAGTCCTTTAACCGTCACCACGGTCGCATCCCACAGCCTCAGCACTTTCTCCAGTTGCTCTCCCCCCACCAGCTTCCCGCCCCCTGTGAACCATCTGGAACGGAGGCCCAGCTTCCAGGAAGGCTCCTTCTGCGGACCAGTGCGAGAGACACAGGTGTGCGTGACTCCCACGCACTCAGAGCCAAGTGTGCCAGTGGCAGAACTGAGTGCTGGGCACAGAGCTGGCTGCTGAGCTTCACATACGTGACAAATCTTGATTAAACTAAAATGGAATGAGATCTCCATTTTTTAAAGGATCCCTTATAAATACAGAGGAGTATTTCTTGTTTCCTGAAACTGTGCGGAAATCAACAAGTCCCCTAAATCTACAGATACCTAATTTTATTTAGAAAACTCTAAAAAAAACTTCGGACTATAAACTATTTCAATCTGTGCTACATTAAAAAAAAACATCACCACTTCTCAGCTGTAGCTAGCAGCTCCCGAGACAGCCAGTGACCACAAGGCTCGGTCTCCTGGCTGACGCAGTCCTGGCTCGGCAGCACCACACACTCCTCCCCGCCCCGCGGAACCCTCTCTCGCCTGCGTCCCCATCTCCCTCTCCCAATGGGGTGCTGGAGGCACCCCATTGCTCTCCCACCTCAGGGCTTCCTCCCAGATCCCTCTGGGCTTCCAGTACAAAGTACCCCCGACCAGGCTCCTCGAGACCACAGGTCACGACATTCACGCACTTTCTCACCACCGGCACCGAACCACCCAGCCCACGCGACAGTGACAGCGACCTGCCCGCAGCTCCTGCAGCGCCTTGGCCACCTCTCATCTAGCCTCAGCGCTGCAGCCAGCACCCTCTTCTCATCAACTCATTCCTCTGCTCCAACCCTGAGTGTGGGAGCTCAATCCGTGCAGTGGCCTCCAAGAGCTGACCCCACGCTAACCCACCCCCATCCCTGGAAGCACAGGGTGCCCGAGACTCTCCTCTGCCCACAGGAGTCTTCTCCCGGGTAAGTGCAGGGGTCAGCCTCACCTCTTGTGTGAGCCAGCTCATCGCTGCCCAGAATGACCCCTCCACCTTTCTGCATGAACCTGTTCCTTCTGACATACCACCATGTGACCCAGCACAGATTTTTTTTTAACCTGTTCATCATCCTCTCTCTCCACAGAAATGTGAGCCCTTTGACGGGATGGCTCTTCTTTTTCGTTCATGACCATCTCAATAGACAATATATATTTACTGCATAAATCTTAAAACTTCAACTTTACCTAACGGCACCTTTAATGGAAAAGTATTTGTATCATATTAATTAGGTCACGTGAAATGACATCACACTGAAAAAATATTCTAGCATCTGCACAGCAAGATGGCCAGCTGGGAATGCCTGCCTTCCCTTCCCACAGGAGCATCACACAAACCCCCCGAGCTGCATGACCCAGTTTCCTGAGAGCCTGGCAAACAGCCACGTGTTTATAGCAACGAAGTGAAATGTCTAACCAATAAAAAGCCTGCTTTAAAAACCAAAGAAAAAGTCTCTGGAATTTTCACTCACCTGTGTGTCTACTCCCTCCTCCATCCTCCGTCTCCCCCTGCCCCCCACCTGAGCAGTCAGGTTCCTACTCCTCATAACAGAGGGTAAAAACCTCACATGCAGATACCGTGTGACACGCGTCTAGTCTACCGGAGGTGGGGTGGGCACACACCTGAGGGACTGGTGCTAGAGGTCTGTGCGTCTCGTGGTGGAAAGCCCACAGGCACCACTTGGGGAAGGCCATGACAAACCCACAGACGCCAGAGGCAATTGGCTGCCCAAGGAGACAAAGGCTGTGTCCATTTGTGTCTCACTGGGGGGTGCCAATATACTTTCTCAAAGTGACTTTCATAGTCTCTCATATGCAGCTTGTGGAGTAGACCAGCTCAGCAATTCTGCTCCATCCGAGTCATTCAGAAGTGCACCCGAAGCACACAGGAAGACGGGCTACTGAGGTAGTCAGAACTGGCAATCTCTTCATCAACAGAAGTACTGGGCAAATAGGAGATGGTATATTCACACAATGGCATATTACGCAGCAAGGAGAATTCATGATCCACAGCTACATGCACAACACAGATGAACCTCAGAAGCCAGCAAAGTCAAAGTGGCCGGGCACCAGAGACACACTGTGTGATCACTCCAACGGGGACACTGCCACCCCAAGTGGTGCCTGTGGCTTTCCACCACGAGACGCACAGACCTCTAGCACCAGTCCCTCAGGTGTGTGCCCACCCCACCTCCGGTAGACTAGACGCGTGTCACACGGTATCTGCATGTGAGGTTTTTACCCTCTGTTATGAGGAGTAGGAACCTGACTGCTCAGGTGGGGGGCAGGGGGAGACGGAGGATGGAGGAGGGAGTAGACACACAGGTGAGTGAAAATTCCAGAGACTTTTTCTTTGGTTTTTTAGGCTCCCTCGTGTCAGAGGTGAAGCTGCCCAAGCGGAGGGGAAAAGGGCAATCAGCCGGGCTGTTGTCTGATCTGGGGCTGGCTTCTGGGCTCAATAAATCCATCAAACTACACTAAGACATATGCACTGTTCTGCAGGTTTTTGTCAGCAAAAAGTTAACAGGTGAAATAAGGTATCTGGGATTTGTTTATAATACTGCCCGTGCCAAACAGAGAAATGTGGGTTGGGGTAATGATAAAACAAGATTCCCAAAATCTCGGTCAGTTTTGAAGATGAGTGATGGAAATGTGGACACTCATTAAACTCCTCAATCATAAAAAATGTTCACCGCGACACAAAACAGCTCTTCCAAAAGGGAGACAAAAATCCACTTACAGGGTATGGCTTAGGCTTTCTTCAGAAGTTGGCATTTTAGCTCCTTTGTATAACTTTTTCAGTTGCTCTATATGTTCTGAATTATCAATGCCCATTCCCATTGACAAAATTTCAGCTCGAACATTATAATCAATGATAGAAGTTTTCAAGTTCGTAAGTTTTGTAATGTGTACCTTGAATCAAAGAAAAAATATATTTTGCAAGAATCACACTTTGAACTTGAAATGACTCGCAAGCACACGGTCTCTCCGTCTAGCCCTGAGACGCACCCGGCACCACCACCAGTCGGGGCTTCCCGGCCACAGCACCCAGCTGGCTCACAGCCTTCCAGAGCCCACGCCGCTGCAGACACGTCAGGTCTGGGGCTGGGGCCAAAATCAGATGTTGGAATAAAGCCCCTAGACAAGGCCAGTCCGTGATGCTGTGACCACAGGCAAAATGCACGGATCTCTCTATTGGTCTAGTGATTTTGCTTTCCCTAACAAGGCGCGCCCTAAGGCCATCTTCAGGGACCCAGCGCCCACACAAGACCTAAGTCCTGTTTCTGGACACTTCCTGCACTTGTTTTTTCTGCAACCAAGGCATTCACATCCATTTAAATTTATACAAAATTAAAACATGAAAATCTGTAGTCGTCTCATTTCTGTCGGTAGGTGGTGAGGACCCAGGAGGGGGCACCCCTTCGCCATCAGGGGCTTGGAGGGGCTGGCTGGCACTGGCTGGGGCACCTTCCAAGGGAAGCCTGGGGACATGCTCCCCTCTGGGGATGACAGAGGCGTCTCTCCACCACATCGGGGCCCAAGCTGGTCTGGGGGGTCTTGCCCCCAGGGGATGCCATGCCACTGTTCCATTGGGAGGTGGGGAAATGTTAATACAGCTGCTTCACTCCTGCAGCTGTAGTTTAGAAAACCCCCACCTGAAAGCATTTCCATTTTTCTCCCACAAAGAAAAACTGCAATTTACCTGCACCAGTAACCTCTACCTCATCTAAAAGTCATCTTATCCTCTTAATCTTTGGTCTATACCCAAGTTATGTCTTTAAAGTGTTAATGTTTTTCCAGTCTTCTAAAAATAACTTTTTAGTCAAACAGTTTTTATGAACTCCTTTCACTTGTAGAAATAATCTTAATTAAGACTTAAGTACACTGAAGTATAATTCTGAGTTGCCAGCAGGGTCCTTGGGGTGTGCGCAGAGGGTCGTGCAGCACCAGAGTGGAGGCACTGAGCCCATAAGGACGTGCCATCTCACTCTGCCCCCAACACAGCTCCTCAGGGTAGGGGTGTGGGCGAGGAGGAGGGCCTCACCCCTGCCAGGGCAGGGCATGTCTTAGGCGCTCAGTCAATGTCTGGTGAATAGCCAAGACAGAGTTCTAAATGTAATAATAATACTTCCCCAAGGCCAGAACCCTCAACATTACACATCTCGGGTGGGGACTGTCAGGTCACTCACAACTAGACAGTGGACCCCAGGCTGCTGCCGCCCCTGGGAGAGCCACTGAACAATGCACAGTGATGGATGAAATGATGGAGAGAAGAAAATACCAGTGACTGTCACCTGGAGTAAGGGACTCTCACTGCAGTGGGCTGTCTGGTTTACAGTGTAAAAACTGTCCTTGAGTAAATACCCACGACCAAATTCATGACTCAAATGAAGTGGGGAAAAAACAAATGCTAACACAGCATTGTTATGCCTTCATTTATGTGAGGAAAAGTTACTTATTCAAACAACAAGGTAGAATGATTTAGATAATTTTAGGGGCCCATGCAAATGCAGACTTGTTTTTAAGAAAACTGCACACTTACCATTGGATCAAGCCAAACTGTATTTCCCAAGGCCAGTATCACTTTTGCATCATGCAGCTTGCCAATGATCTTATGATGAACATACCTAGTAACCTGAAAAAAACTTATCAGAAACTCTAAGGAGATATGCTATAGATGCTGTACATGTTTTGCAAAAAACTTATCCAAGCAGTTCACGTGAGCCTCACAGCCATCCCATCAGGTCATTTCTGGACACCATCAATCAGTGGACTTGAGTGAGGACAGAGGTGAAAGTCAGCTTGGAGAACAGAAGGGGTCTGTGCCTCTGGACTCCTACTGCCGCACACTGCCCAGTGGGCTGGGCCCGGGGCGCCTGCTAACTGTCCACCTTATCTCTACCACATACTGTTTTCCTCCCTGGGGAGCAAAAGCGTTCCCGCGGCTCCAGAGGAGGAAGTCGCAGCACCAGCAGCCCACGCCAGGACACTGGCACTGAGGTTTCCAGCTCTCCCCGAGCCGCTTCCCCCCGGCCCCGGCCGGGCTTAGTAGGGGGGTCGCCACACTTCCTGCACATCTGAACCCCGCTAAGCTGGCAAGGATACACAGAGGAGCGTTTTCCCCCACTTCTACGGAAGACACCTCTTTGTGAGCTATTTGAAGTTGATCATCTTAGCAGCTCACACGCTTCCTGAGGACAAGGACCACAGTCTTCCTGCCAGCGGCTACACCCCCAGAACCCACACTGCACCAGCTCGCCGTGGCTACTTGGTAAATGCTTTGCAGGAGGCGAACAGTCTGTTATGGAATAAAGGTTACGTTTACTACACTCACAGCAGTAGGTTGTGAATTTATCGCATACTGTGGAACCATTTGGAACCATTCACCTGCGTTCTTTTTGGATAATGTGAATTTGTTCATAAATCAAACTGTTTCTGCTCTGCCAACTGCAAAGGTTTATTTCTTTTCTTAATAAGATTATACAAAATAAAACCTTCCGTTGAAGAAGCAGGAGCACCATTATGAACACAACTCACTGCTCTGGTGACAAGCAGGATGAACTGCATCTCCATCCACTCTGGCAGTGTGCTGCCCACCCAGGGCCACTGGGCTCCAAGGTACCACCTCACTGCCCCCTCCAGTCCACTTGCAACACTAGCTCCTGAAATGTAAAGTTCTTCCTTTGGAAGCTTTTCTGGACTCTCTCTCCTCCTGTCTCTTTTCCCAATTCCAGTGGGATTACCCGGCCTATCCAGAGTGTCCGTCACCTATGTCCCCTTTGACAGAGACAAGCGCTTCTGTAGGCCTTACAAGGTTTCTTCTGCATAAGCTGTTAGCCAGTGCTTTTTACCATGACCGATAGTTCTTCTCAATTCCAAACTGTGAATGAGGCAACCCTCACGCCTCCCCAGGTCAGCGCTGGGTCCATGCACACGGCTGTGAGTGCAATTCCTGCTCTGGCAGGAATCCAAGCAAATTGTGCTTCAGCCGCCCAGAAAAAGCAGCATTTTATCCAAACTCCCAACTCTTAAATAGAATTATACCACAAGTCAGTCTATATTCTGGGTTAAGAATATTATAAAACTCAATAAAATATAAAAAGCCAAAGCAACTAACCTTGGGATTCCATTCGATTTCATTGTCAGCAGGTTTTACTCTACACACAATAAACTCCACAGCTTGCGGGGGCAGCGTGTGGAAACGCTCTGGGAGGCCTAACAGTTGACCCCTTGTGACAAGCTTGGTCCTGCCTTCATCTATAAGGTTTACAAGGACATTCTCCAGGGCCCACATGTCTTCTTTCTCGCTCATCTCCAACACCTGAACCCTGGAGAACAACAGTGGTTGCATTTTAACAGATTCCAAGATGGAAACAGCCTTTGTCTCAACTCATTAAATGAAAAACACAAAAAATGATGGAGAACTTTAGTGCACCCTATTTTATTTCAGAAATAACGAGCAGTGTCAAGAATACTTAGTTTATTTAACTGAAGCATATCTAACAATAAAAAATGCAGTGTTTTTCAACAGAGTGAATTTCTTTAGCCAACAACAAAGTGACAATGAGCAGAGCGAATCCTATTCCCAGGGTCTCAGGGCGCCTGTGCGGCACCAGTGTGGCGTCTGGAAGCACGGGCGGGGCGGGAGGCGGCTGTGCCACACGGGCACTGCCTGGGCCGTGTGAGACGCCCACTCAGACAGCTAACGTGGCGCCCCGAGGCCCCTGAGTGTTGCCAAATGAGCACGGCGCCCTCTGAGGGGTGTGAGAAGATGAGGTTACAGATGTGTCTGCACCCGGCACGCGGTGAGGGCTCTGTAAGCGGCACACTGCCGTCCACGGCTGTGCTCAAGAGTCGGGGGCCAGGCGGCCTCAGTGGCCATCGGGGTTCTGGCCAGGACCCACTGGCACACTCTCTTGGGGAGCTGCCATACCTAGTATGTGGCTCACTGGGTCAAAAGGTGCAAAAACAGTTTAGTGCCAGGTAAAGTCACCTCAGACGTCACAACTTTGAGAGATGATACAGACAGACACTTTACCTATGAAAATGTGTTTTTTCTGCTAATCCATATAATTCAAATTTCTCCACCTTTTCAACAGTTGTTTTATTATTGGAATCCTCAAAATATTCTTTCATTTCAGCATGAAGAGTTGCATAAAGGTCCCCATTTTTATCAATTATACGACCAAAAAAGTTTGTTGCATTGGAAATATAAAAGGGTATTACCTGAAACACATAAAGTTAATTAAAAATCTAAACCAAAATATATCTGCCAAGTCAACATCTAAGACTTTAGACTAGATAGATTTTAAACTGGAAAAGCAAGTAAAAAACAAAATAAAATGTTTACTGTAGTTAAAAATTCCAGTTTTATTTTAAATCTAATAGAAGAATTGAGGGGTGAATATTATTTTAAAACATCATTTATTAGTTATATGTATTCCTTTAATTTTTAATGGCCCTTTATAAAAATCCTTCTTAAAATAACGTCTTCATCTTTCCTGTTATTTGTACAAGAAGTATTTAATGACGAGCCTGCAGTGCTGGGGCAGCAGGATATGCACCTAAAGCCATGTCCACAGGACTCTCAGCAACCTGAGTGGACAGGTTGAAATGTGGACAGGTGCTGGGTGCAGGGTTTCTGACGGCGCGCGTGGAGGATGCCGCAGGCACACACTCAGGGGTGCTGCACGGCACCTCATCCCCTTCCTTTAGCACCGGACACTAACTAGAAGCATCTTTCGTAATTTGTCTGTCTATGGCTGACATCCCCAATGGGTATCAGTCATGGAGGACATGCAACGTGTCTCTCAATATTTCTGAGCGAGCCATCCTCAGCAGGCTGGCGGGAAGCTGCCTTAATAAAGCCTCAGTGTTTGCTCAGACCCACCCTGTCTATGCAGGGAGTTTGGATTCCCTCCTGCCCGGCAGATGGTCCCTCTCCAAGGGTCTCCCTGGCAGCACTGCGAAGCTAGCCGCAACCACTGCAGCATGAGTTCAATCCCTGGCCAGGGAGGTGACCCACATGGCGCGGCAGACCTCTCGTGACCTGCCTGCTGCTCCCCTCAGCAGTGTACTTCCTCTACCTGCCTCTTCTGCTCCCCACTCTGTCTCTGGTGAATTCTCTTATCCCTCTCCCATCCACATCTCTGTCCTACACCCCAGTTCTTGTGTGCATAAATATATCTTTAAAAAAATGAAAAATGTTGATTAAAATGACTATTCATCATTCAACAAAGAACTTACTCTAATATATCCAGATGTTGGTAGAGCTTGGCTTGAAAACTTCCTTGGCATGTCTATTTCTGGATTAATATGGTGTCGATCAGGACAGACTCTTTTATCTCTGGGGGAAAAAAAGTAGATTTTAAAACTAGAAAAAGAGAGTTATTTAAAAAAAAAGATTTATTTATGCATACAGAACTGGGGTACAGGCCAGAGGTGCAGGGGCGGTGAGGGGATTCACCAGAGACAGAGCGGGGAGCAGAACAGGCAGATCGACGAAGTACACTGCTGAGGGGAGCAGCGGGCGGGTCAGGAGAGGTCTGCCACGTCATATGGTCACCTCTGGGGCAGGCGGGGATCAAACTCATGCTTTAGTTTCTTAGTGTTGCGCTCTAACCTGCTGAGCCACTAGGAGGGCCCAAAACAATGATTTTTAACAATTGTTGTTAGTTTTTTGATAAGAGCCATCTTACCGGCTCATTATGGTTTTGATTTGCATTTCCCTGACTATGAGGGATGTTGAACATATTTTCATATGCCTGTTGGCCATTGGCATTTCCTCTTTGGAGAAGTGTCTTTTACATTCTTCTGCCCCTTTCTTGACTGGATTGTTTATTGTTAAAATAGTAACAAGGATGTAAAACAATGATACTTCATTAATTTAAAACAACAAACACACGGAAAATGGGGGAAAAGACTGAAGAGGGCAAAATGTCTAGTAAGCACATACTGAGACATTCAGGGAAATAAAAACGAAAAATGCATGGTTTGCCACCAAATCCCAAGAAGGCTGTGTGCTCGTTAGTGAGGAGATGGAGCTGAAGGATCATGAAATGGTTCATCATTTTAGAAAAGTGCAATCTGTTTTTCCCATCACCCAGCATTTCCACTCCAAGGTATACATCCAAGAGAAATGGAAGCAAATTTCCACAAAAAGACACACAAAACAAAGCTCGCGGCAGCTTCATACATCATAGTCCAAAAGTGAGTACCACCCACAGGCCCACCAATGGAGGATGGGTGTCTTCATGTAATGGGAAACGAAGCGACAAGCAACTGGGAAGGTGCCTGAGGGACTCCCCGAGTTGGTGGCAGCTAAGACTTCCTCAGGCTGACATCGGTGTGCACAGCATGCTGCATCTCAATCTTGAAAGAGGACCAGCTTACCTGCAAAAACCAAAAGCCTTAAGATACGGACAAAGAGGCCTTTTGGCTTTTTTATCTTCTCTGGCTTCCAGAACCCCCGCAGTGAATTCGTACAGCTCTGCAGGAATCTTGGCGTCCGCTCGCTCCAAGTAGCGCAGGATGCCCACCGCGTGGCACGCGCTCCTCTCTGTCAGCAACAACACTGACTTGGCCTTCTTGTCTCCCTGTTCTGCTGGAGAACCCTAAAATTGGGGGTGAATAAAGTAAGTGGAACATCCCTATCAGTCTAGATGATGAAGTTTTGTGGACTCTGCATTTGCCATTACATGGAAAATGCAAGTAAACATTACGATAATAAAAATTAACCAAACCTGTTCAGTTGAACTCTGAAAATGATCAGACATGCAATATAGGCGTCCACCAAAAATTTTTGGTGAGGAAGGAAAGCTGAAGTGAATCACACATGTGGCATCGGTGATGGTCAAGAGAGGGATGCAATCATCAGTTAAGGCTGGAGAAAAGGATTCCGACAATTTCAAATGAGGCTGAGTGTTCCTACATTTACTTTACAGAGCAATTCCAGTAATCATACATCACTCTATTTCTTACTGCAGTTTTACTGAAGCAAAGAAACTGCAGCAAAGAAACATTTTCCCCTTTGTGGCCCTCTAGTGGGTCCAGGACCTGGGGCGCGCCTGTGAAGGACGAAGCAGAGGGACGACTGCTGTGTCCAGCATGCAGTGCATCTTTATTCTGCAGCGCGCTCTTTCCTCCACATTGTGAAGCTGTAACAACAGCGTCCTGACTTAATCTATCTAGACATTCTCAAGCAGTAACAATAGCACAGAGTTACTCTAACTCTCTGTCTGGGGTTCTAGTTCTTGGCACCCTGTCCAGGCCCAGAGGTGAGCCCTCGCACCCACCCGTCACTTCTCTTGATGTGCTCTTTTGCTCTTTCTCAGAGGTGGCTGCTTGCTCGCAAGACCTATTTTCTCACATCTTGGAGCTCTGGCCCGGCCCTCAGGAGTGTCCCCTTGCAAGGCACATGCGCTGTCACATGCCTCTCGGTATCTAAGTCCAGGTGCCAGTCAAGGCCATGCAGAGCTCTGCCAACATCCTTTATTTTTCTGAAATATCACAGTCAGAAGTTAAACTCCGGAGAGAAGTGATCTCCTACTTACTGTGAAAAAGATCTCTATTAGACATGTATCTCCAGACTACCCGTCTACACTTAGCACTTCGGCGTCAGGTCTCTCGTGTCTTACTGCATACTCATGCGTGACCCACCTACATACTCACGCATGTGCGCGCGCACACACAGACCAGTGATCCTCCAGCTGAAACTCCAGGAAGCAGATCTAGGCTCAGGGCTGGGCTCCAGCTCAACACCAAAATCCAACTGAAGCTTATTTTAATTTTGAAATTAACATTGTTAATAAATTCTCAGTAACTTGAGAACTGATAAGAAATTTGGAAATAAAAAATGAACTGAAGACCTGATTTTTACTAGATTATCCTTCTCTAAATAGAAATATTAATGCACTTACCTAATACAATGTGAGAGCCAGAACTTAACTTCTTCTTCCACTGTTCTAAAGTACTTTGTAAGTTAAAAATAATTTCTTTATGCATTTTCAAGCAAAATATTGAACTGCTTTCTACTACCTAACAATAAAACAAAAAAGGCAGGTTCAGGAAGGAACATAAACTTAAAGTCAATTGTTTGATCATTAATTACTGATATGAACCATTAAAAATTATTTGTAAGGGTACTATACCTTTCTGATCCACTAATTCTAGAGCATGAGATGACTGTACACGTGAACAGAATTCCAAAATGCTTACATCAAAAAATGTGCTTATTCAACAAATATTTTGTAAAGCTATTTTCCTTTATTTTTTTAAAGTGGGTACAGAAGAGGAAAGCATTTCTTCATGAATCAGATCCTTGTAGTGCTCCATGCCAGGACAAAATAGAAAACCCTACTCTGCACCTCTTGGAGGTTAGCTCAAGGGAAAGGCGACTGCGCACCCTGGGCACGCCATGACTCCTCGCCTCAATGTCAGGCCTCTTGCTATCTTTCTACACTCAGAATTCTGCAGCTGAACCTACATCCTCTTCTGACTGATGTTAAACTTGTCACATTTTATTCCTGTCAAATAGTTAACTACCCAGTAGTTTTCTGGGTAGTTACAGATTCAATAACAGTTTAAGCAAATAAAATGCTTTTATCAGTGGAGGGGCTTACCTTACACACCATTTCTGTTTCAGCTACAGAACAGGTGAAGATTAAAGTCTTCTGTGCCTGACTTGGGATGAAATCAAGTGTTTGCAGTAAAGTAGAGGTTTTTTCACATTCTAAGCAAAGATGCACTATCTGGTAATAAAATACAGAAACAAAGTGAATTAAAAGTACTCAATGTACCCCAGTTTCACTTATCTTAAGTAAATTAGGACGCTAAAAGAACATGTAGGAAGCAAATAAAAATGTATTCGCATCATTACAGATTTGCCTAAGGAGCTAAGGTTACAGTCATCTAACATGCAGCTGTGAAACAGAGGTCACTTGAGTGTGTCCATGCCCTGCCGCCATACCCCGTGATTCATTACCTGCTGGACATTGCCGTAGAGAGCAGCCTCTTCCATGGCCGTGATCACAACACAGGGGTCATTCATGAACTCTTTCATTAAATGCTCTATGTGTCTGTTCCAGTGAGCTCCAACTGCAACAATCTGATGTGGTGCAGATTCCCTTTCTTCAACCTCAGTATTTTTTTTAAAGTTATCTAATATAGCAAACATCTAAAACAAGAGCATAATTAATTTCACTTTTATTTCAAAAAACAAATACCTAGTTTGACAACATAAGAGGTAAAGGATTTTATATTTTTTGTTCTCAGAGCAGGGAAGTCCCTTCCAGACATAAAAGGAAAAAATACTAAGCATCAACAGATTTAAAGCACAAACATCATCTGGGTAAAGACATGTAACCTATGTAATAGGATTCACATTCTTATGTTGCAACTTCAACAGCTCATTAGAAAGAGACTTTCTCACTGACAGAAAGTAAGCAAAGGAAATGAAGCAGCAGCTCACAGAAGACTGGGCACAAGTGGCCAGTCTGAAACCATACACGGCTGCAGCAACCAAGGAAACACAGCTGCAGTCACGGTGCTGCGTGGCGAGGAGACTGGAGGTGCACGCTGCCCACAGCCTCCTGTGCCAGGGTGCGGGAGCGCCGCAGGGGGCGCACAGCTGCAGGGAGGGGGCGCTGGGCGGTGCCCTTGCAAAGGCTGCGCGGTACACAGAGGAGTGCACGGAGATCAGTTTTGCAAGCAGGAAGTGAGTTTCTGGGGGGAGTTCAGAAACCTCCGCAGTCAGCAGTAACAAGACTTGAACTTGCTCCCAAACAAAGCTCTTGGCCACCGTCACGTTCCCAACCAATGCCTCATAAAAATGCATACGCTCTGATTCATTAATCTCTTTCCTAAGCATTTATCCTAAGCGAAATGTGCAAAAATGACATATGCTCTTTGGCTACACAAACACACAAATGATAATATATGATAAATAAGACAGATTTAGGATAAACTATGTTATACCCACAGGACTCAATTACCATATGACCAATAACAATCACACTGTAAAAACAGTAATATTCATTGTCTATTGAAAAAAAGCAAGTTACAAACTAGCATAAAAGAAGGCCCTGACATATTATTTGTAATAGTTAACAGACACAGGGATTATAATATTCACAGAAATCACAAAAAGAAAACACTTGGTATTTTGGTAATACCTGAGTATAAGACTATGGAAACTGGATTTTCAAGTGTTCTCTTTTTCTCAAATAACTTCCTGCTTCCATAATCAGAGAAATACTACTCATTTTTTTAAGATTTTTTATTTATTTATGTATACAAGAACTGGGGTACAGGTCAGAGGTACAGGAGGTGAGAGGATTCACCAGCGACAGAGTGGGAAGTGGAACAGGTGGACTGAAATCCACTGCTGAGGGGAGCAGTGGGGAGACAGGAGAGGTCTGCTGTGCCATGTGGGTCACTCCCTGGCTGCGGACAGAACTCATGCTGCAGTGTCTGAGGATGGCTTCATAGCGCTGAGACTTTTAACCCCTTGCACCATAGGGAGGGCCTACTTAAATATTTTAGAAAACTCCTCTGGGAGATAATTTTTGCTTGCCAAAGAGAACCTTAACACTGGGAAAGAAATTTCAGATAAATGTTCTCTCTTCTTAATTGTAAGAGTTTTAGATTAACCAGCTTCCTCTCCAAGTGGACACCATCATGATTCCTAAAAGCAGCTAAGACATACATATTCTATACATATATATGTGTATGTATATACATATACATAGTTCTTAAGAAGAATAACACCTAAATGGATGATATACTTACTTGTTCATTAGCATCAAGAAATAATACTTCCACCTCATCCAAAACTAGGTGACAGAGTCTAAGAAATAACAAGCTTTGATATTTGAGAAGTCTCATGAGGCTATGTGGTGTTGTAACAATCACATCACCTATATTTTAAAAGAACAATTAAAAATTTCAGATTTTCCACAGGTATTTCTAACATTTAGGAATGTCAGACCCCACGGTTCCTAGAAATGCCATCTAGCCAAACAAAAAGATGCTGTTCTTACTAGAGTGGTCAGGGCAACATACTTCCCTGCCCAGGTTAGCCCTGTGATTGTCTGATTCTCAGGAGCACCTAATCTGTGCTCCTAAGAGGCAGGGAGGGTTTTAGTCAGCATCTAACAAACAAGATGTGTTCAGTAAAGGAACTGGAATAAATGAACAGTTGATAATAAATCGTGGTTTTCCCAGCGGACCCCTCCGCATCCAGACGGGCAGTAACTGGCGGTGGTGGTGGGGGGGTGTCAACTGGCTGCAACACCACACAAGTCCGGCCTTATTTGGGGCTCCCCTGCCCACCTGGGCAAGTCCATGCATTCTCTAAGGAAAAGCAAACGGCTTGGAAAGAATACTTACAACCCCTTGGAAGCTTCATATTTTTGGCTTCATCTTTATGGAGTCCGATTGTCAGCAACACAGGGTGAAGAGGCCTGGAGGCCATGCTATAGTCTCCCAATAATTCAAAAATAAACTGGGCCTTTTTCCACCCAGGGCACACGATGACGGCCAGAGGCTGCAAAGACAAACAAATTTATATAATCCTGGAAAAAGTAATGAACACAGAATATGTGAAGCATACAAACCGTCTCTTCGCACACAGTAAGCAGTAAAATTTCTGCTAACGTCATGGTCACATGGGTTAGAAAAGGTAAAATATTTCATAACAGTGAACCTAAGACACACTAAGCCCTTCACACTGCAGTTTCATTTAGTCTTTAAAATTCTCTTACACGGCAGCGCTGTTCTCGCATTTCACAGATGAGGTGCCCGGGGCACAGAGAGGTAAAGCCCCTGGCCACAGCGGCACAGCTAGTGCGCGGCAGCAGCAACCGGAGCTGGCGCCAGGCAGGCTGGCGGGGCGCCTGATCCCACGCACAAGCATGAGGCCGCGGTCCGAGAGGGTGCCAGAGGCGGCTGGCCTCTCCTTAGGAGGGCGGGTCCCTCCACAGCACCCACCTTCCTTCAGCACTGCCCGAACCCAGCCTCACCGCCTCCACCAGAGAGCTCCTTAAGGTGCACTGAGGGCCAACACCTGCTGACCTCGGCCCTGGAGACAGCACAGTGGACACCAGAGGCAAGACATGGCTGGACAGCGCTTCCTGGCCAGCCAGGGCTCGGCCCCAGGGGTCGGCTGGTAGCTAACTAAGGGGTATAAACACACCTCCCCATTTATAAATGAATACATAAAACTAGTCAATGCAGATATCCAAAGAGAATTCATTAAACTATGTGGCATCAACAGAAAAATGAGTATCTTTTCTAAATGCAACTCTAAGTATCTTTTCTCACTATTTTTCACCTCATAATGAGTAACAAAACCATTTGCCATGTAGCCTTTGTGACAGGATCTGAGAAGTCTTACATATATCAGCCCAATCCAGCCAAACAGATGTCAATACCTACCATTACCTGCTCTTCACCAACTACCCATCTCTCCCCCTTGAGATTCTCACATGAGAAAATGAAGTAGGACCATTAAACAGTGTGGGGAGTCATGAAATAATTTAAAGAATATGGAAAAAGAGAGAAAAACCTAAATCCTAATCCTTTCACCACATGTCAGCTTTGAAGACTTTATACCAGTAACTTTCCAAGAGTTTAATTTCCTCATCTATGAAATAGCAAAACAATATATACATTACCTGACCATTTCATAAGGTTGCCATGACAACTATGTGAATAAATCAGTGAAATAATTTCATAAACTAGACTCTCTTGACTCAGTCAGTAGCCCCCAACTGGGATCTCCAGGTAAGAATCAATAAAAGAATCCATGTCTGTGACAGGAGGAGCGTTCATCCTGCCAGTTTGGAAATCCAATGAGTGATGGAACCCAGCCTTTACCAGAAGTTAGGAGTAAAAATTTCAAAATATTTAAGCCACTTTGTTGTGAAACCAAACTGTCTTCAACTTACTCCGTTTCTACTTGGTAGTGACTTGTAGCAGCCTTCAGTCTGTAAGATTGTCAGCAGCGGCAGAAGGTACAGCAAAGGGTCGTTTCCACAGTGAGAGATGACCACCACGTCACAGCCGCGGGCAATGGGGGGCCAAGAGTACGACTCAGTGTGGCTAGGCCCCGGAAACTGGCCCCTCTGAAGAGCCTACAGAGCGTCAACAGCAACAAAACGACAACAATACAGAAAACTAACAAAAACGCTGATCTCGCGGCTCACATTACCCCAGCCATTTACTTGCTGTTTTTTTCCCTCTCTTTAAAGATTTATTTTATTTATTCATGCACACAAGAGCTGGGGTACAGGCCAGAGGTGCAGGGAGTGAGAGGATCAACAGAGACAGAGTGGGAAGCAGACCAGGCAAATGCACTGAAATCCACGGCTGAGGGGAGCAGCGGGGAGACAGGAGGGGTCTGCTGTGCCCTGTGGGTCACTCTCTGGCTGGGGATCGAACTCGTGCTGCAGTGGCTGCTGCTACCTTCATACTGCTGCCACTTAATCCCTTGCATCACCAGGGAGGCCCTGCTCCGGTTTTTTCTAGGAATGGATTTGTAGCACCAAACTCCTGGGTTAAGACTCCTGCTTTTCTGAAAATTAAAAGGACCCAAAAGGCAGCCCACTGACCGACCAGGCATGCTCGTGGGAGCAATGATGTGAGCCTCTCTTCCTCCTCCCCCTCGAGGTCACCTGCCAGTGCAGCAGTCTCACTAGTGAAGCTTTTGAAGAGCCTGTTTTTTTCTGCATGTTTTTCTAAGTAAAATTTCCTGAATGTCCCAACAGCCTGAGTGCTCCACACTGGTTTTGGTTTCCAAAAGCTAAACTCACCAGCCCCATTAGCCCCACGAAGCCCTCATGCCAGGTGCTGGACCCCAGCGGCATGGTCCTACCCAGCACCTGGTGGACGGCTGTCTCCTGTGTCTCTCCACTGTCCGCCTCTGGGTGGTGACCCTGTCACCTCAGGTTACTTTCAATGGCTTGTTGACAAGGGTAGACTAGACTATTTTGACACTTCGCTGCCTCACAACGGCTTCATTCTGCCCTGACACCTCACTGGTAGGCTGGATTTGTTCTTCATATTCTGGATTGAGTGCTCTTCTGAGGGACAGAATCCATTCTGCACTCTGTTCCTGCACGAGGGACCAGTTGCTTCTTTCTGGAAGCTTTCATGATCTCTGAATCTCTTCCAGGGCAGTGGCTTCACTGTCACGTGTGTGCCGTCTTGTTCCACGGCTATTCTGGGTCTGTCGTTGGGTTTCTACTATTGATGCTAGGTCCAGAATTTATTCTTGTGCTGCTCTTCTCCACATTTCTTCATTCTTTCTAGAAATCCCTTTTTTTCATACTGTATACCTCAAACTGACCCTCAGTTTATCTTCCTTCCTCCCATTTCCATCTCTTTGCTTTTTGTTCTATTTTTTGATAGCAAGCTTTTATTTTCCTTCATGCACTACATATGGATACTGCTTTTGAAGTACTGCTCCCTGCCTACACTGTTTCTTTCAGCCTTTACAGCTTGTTTTATTTATTTCTGTTAAGGGCTTTCAGATCTAAAGAGCTAATGAGCTCTGGTGTCTGTTCACAATGAGAATACTAAAAGCTGACAAGAGATCTGTGGGTTGAAGCTCCTTCCAAGGTGAGCCTCACATCTCCGTAGGAAGACAGGGCAGCAAATACACATTTTTACTGGGGAAATCCCAGAAGGCACTAGCTAAAGGTCATTTCTCTTGGAGCTCTCCAAAAAGAGCTTTCGATGTCTCTCCTGAGAAACTGGCAGGGAAAGCCATCACCCCGCCCCACCCTCTTCCCACTGCTCTGCCAGTCTGCTCTGCTGACCGGTTCTTGTTTCCTACAAGCCTATGGAAGCCTCTTGTTCACTAACAACTCCTCTCACATTCTATTCATATTGTGCTTTTTCTTTCTTTTAAAAGTTCTTTAATAAAACTTTTTTCTATCAGTAAGGTAGCAGGTAAACATGTATGATCAACTTACCAAGTGAAACCATGGGCCCACAAAGCAATTTGGGGAGGTATGTTACAACTGTCTGACAACTTGTTCCTTTCAGCTCAATTTTAGAAAGGTTATTTGAGAGAATCACTTACGAGTTATACAATGGTTTCTGCAGAGAATTATGTACTTATAAGCAGCAGCCAAACTGGGTTTGAGAATAAATGAGAAATAGCAAAAGCTTAAGACAATGTCAAAAGCAAAGAAATTATACAGGTGCAAGCGTTACAGGGTTTACCAAGAGCCCTGCACATGAGAAAAGGCCCATTTCTGGTGCTCCCCCAGGCGCACCCTCACCTTCTTCAGGTCTGCTGAGAGTGGCGACAGGTCAATGGACAGGCAGGGCTCCACCTTGTTCCGGAGCACCGTGAAGGGCTGCCACGCGCCTGCCTTCACCGTCTGCAACTAAGAGGACATGAGAGCTAGACAGGAGCACTGCAGAGTTGGCCCACGGTACCAAGCGCTCTACAGGGAGGGAGAAATCTCAAGTTTGATTTCAATGCAAATGTGCTCAACAAAGCCACGCAAACTGCCGATTGAGAGGAATAGCATTTATTACCCAAATTAAGAAGGAAATTTCTCTAACGTGGTAACTTGCTCAATTTAAGTCTGCACATCAAGTACCCCTCTAAGGAGCTTCTCTTCTAACTTCAAGCTCGGAGGAAGGCAAGAGAGGAATTTAGAGCTAACCACATTCTTTCCCCTCCTTTACGAGGGCTGTAAATACCTGCTGCAAATCAGAGATGTCACCAACTCTCAATGGATCAGGATTCAAAAATTGCAATAACCTGTAAGAGAGTTAAAAGGATAATGTGAAGGCCAAAGTGTGTATATCTCTTCAACTGAACTATTATTTTAATTATTACTTGAGAGAAGTAAACTGAACTACATGTCCCAAGGCACAGCTGTGAAATTCTTGACTTTGCTCTGCCATTTACTATGACACCAGGGTCATTCCTGGTCATGCCAGCCCACGCTTCCCACACCACAACAGGCCCCACCATGCAAACAGCACAGCCAGGGCCATTTGCTGGACGAGGGAGAAGACTGCATCATCGCCAAGCCATGTCACATTTCAAGGAAACCCAGTTTCCTTCCTTGTTCTTTATTCATTCCTAATGACTTCAAGGTTGCCTGGGAGCCTGCAATGGGCTATCAGAATCATTGAGGTAGCTTAGTCCCCTTGATCTAAGTAGAGGGCACTTAGTGGGAAGAGCTAGTTTGCAACCTCTTCACAGAGATAAAAGGAAACAGACTATCAGAACTGACTTAACAAGTGACGATTTAATGTAATAAAAGAAACGAGCAATATGGATAGTGCAAGGTCTTTTATTCCAAGGGAAAAAAGCACTAGTAAGCCAAAACTTTCAGGTTTCAGTGAAACTTTCTGTAAGTGAGGTGGTGGAATACCCTGGCTGAGGACATCGAATCCAGCACATTAACACAACTCTGGGATTTGTGTGCTCCTGGGGAACACTGTGCAGAGTAACTTCAGGATGAGAGGACGTTACAAGGCCACAGCACAGGCCTTTAGAATTCTATGCACCTCAAATGGGGGTCCAGCCCACATCCTCTCTCCAAGTGGAGACAGCACGACCTCCCCACTTCTGGACCATCTTAAACTCTGTCACTACGATGGCTTCAGAGCAGCCAGTGGTTGGTGACGAAAGAGAGTTCAGACCAGTATGGTAAGAAACAATAAAAACTGATATGAGAGCATTCTGTGAACTACACAAGAATAAAATGAAATTATTAGTTAACTAATGAAATTACTGTTAACAACTTGTATATCAGTACTTTGTAAATCTGAACAGACCAAAAATCCCAGAGCCCCATACTTCAATAATCAAATAGCTTGTCCTGCTGGAAAGCACACACATCCCCCATAAAGCCAGGAATCCCAAAGATCCACTTCATCTAACTTACTTCATAAAATCGCTCACTTTATTAAGAAAACTGGAAAAGGGAGACAGAAAATGACTCTTTACACTAGAACAAAGATTTGACTAGAAAAATCCATCCTAATAAGCATTACAAAAAACTAACTTCACAGCCTACAGGGGATAAATGCATATGTGTTTTTTAATGGAAATGCAGATTTGAAATTAGTAATAAAATCACATGTAAATTCTTACTTATGACTTAACAATTATTTCAATAAAAAATTTAGGCCAAGAAACAGACTAATACTTCACACAGCCGTTCTTTTCATCATATTCTTTCTTCTCAGTCAATCTAAAAGATGTCTCATTTGGCTTCCGACATAATGCACTAGGAAAGAAAAGACAGTATTCACACATTTGAACCCATTTACCCTAATCCTAAAAATATTTGTATCTTCGGAAGAAAGCTTAAGTACCATCGAGCAACATCTTGATCTACATAGGTAAACTTCTGTGGTAACTGAGGCTGAGCCCTGCCAAGTATGGAGTCATTTTGACAGTTCTGGTGCTTGCAAAGTGGAAGAGTGCTATGTGGTCCTCTCCTATGAAACTCTATATAAAGCACAAAAATAGAGGCGAGAAAAGTAAAAATGTGAAAATAAACAGAACTATTCACTTTTACATTCCTCTACTTCAGTGCTGACCCAATGCTGGCCGAGAAGTAGGACCATGTATGAGACGTCAAAATCTCTAGAGAGAAACTCCTGATTTCAAGCCAGAGAACCCAGGAAAGGGGTCCTTAACGAGTGCATGGGGAATCTCCACTCATTTTCTTTTTTTCCTCTTTCCCTCCTGCCCTGCTCCCATCCTGGAGCTGCACAGCAATAGCAATATGGCCACCTAAAATGCCAAGAGAAAGATCCTTCTCAGAAGGAACTGGGAAATGTGGACCCTGTGGCCCACCAACCATATGGGAAAAATCTCCATCTTTCTTTCTCAACAACAGCCCCAATCATACAGAACTGCACGGTTGTTTCTCTGAGCACAAGCTACCTCCAGGGAACAGTGAGGTGTACCCAAAAAACGGTCAATAAATTTGTAGAAAATTCTGGAGAAAAATGAGAGTGGGGGAGAGGAGCAGGGAACCCTTTTTCTGTGGATGGCCCAATACAAGTCCCAGGTTCAATCTAATTTCACTATATTCACAACAGACTCTGGGTAACTTATCAAAGACTTGGGAACTGGGCTGACACTATAATCACCAACCACAGAAAGTGAGGCAGAATTTGAGGTCTAAACCTAATGGAGCCGCCAACTTCCTGCTAAAAACAAACAATGATGAACATCAACATTCTTTAGTGGATTTGAACAGAAAACAGCAACTCACACTACAGTATTAAAAATATCCAGAATACATTCCACAATCATTTGACAGCCAAAAAGAACCAGGAAACTAAGACTGTCAATGGTAAGATACTGAACAGATGCCACCCCAAGATGGCCCAGAGGCAGAATGATCAGTTAGATTCTCTAAGCAACTACAACCATACTCCAAGGAAAGGGAAGCTGAGCAAATTTAACAAGAGAAATTCAGAACAAAGAAATAGAGTATGACAAAAAAATGAAGTAAAAATTTTAGAAACGGAAAATATAGTACATTAAGTTAAAGATTCATTGGATGTGTTCAATAGCAGAATAGAGATGACAGTGTTAACTGACTTAGATCAGGGGCCCTCCCTGATGGCACAAGGGGTGAAAGCACAGCACTATGCAGCTGTCTGCAGCCACCACAGCAGGAGTTCAATCCCTGGCCCCAGAGGTGACCTACGTGACCCACATGTCTTGCCTGCTGCTCCCCTCAGCAGTGTATTTTAGTCAGTTTGCCTATTCTATTTCCACCTGTGTCTCTGGTAAATCCTCTTACCCCCACCCCACCCCACAGCTCTAGTCTGTACCTCAGTTCTTTTAGATATAAATAAATCTTTAAAAAGAAAAGAAATAGATCAGTAAAGATTTTCATCTGAGAAACAGCAAGGAAATAAAGGTTAAAAAGATGAACAGATTCTCTGGGACCTTCTGGACAATATTAAAAGGGCTGAAATTTGTCATTCAGATTCTCAAAAGTATAGAGACTGGCATGAAAAAAGTATTTCTAGAATAACTGAATATTTCCCAAATTTGATGAAAGACAGAAAACTACAAAGAAACGTAGTAAACTGAAGAGTAAGACACACGAGAGAAAGGACACTAAGCATGTCCTTAGCTCCTTCAACCAGTAATAACAAGAGAAAAAGGACATGTAACAGAGGAATAAAAAAAGATACTAGATTTTTCTTTGTAGACAATACAAATCGAAAGATAGTGGAGCAACATCTTTCAAATATGGCATTGTGGGTGGGGCTGTCAACTTAGAATTCTATACCTAGAATGAACTTTTTCCCCAAAACTGAAGCTTAAATAATTTTTCAGGTATACAAAAGCTGAGACTATCATCAGCAGAAATAATGAAACAATATGAACACTAGAGACAATAGGTAAAGTAAGTGACACCTAGTGTGATCCTATATATAAAGTGAAAACCTTTATGGCAACTGTATAGGTAAATGTGCAAGACATTTTTCTCCATTTAAAAATCTCTTTAAAAGACAATTGTTCAAATACAAATGATAATATCTTCTAGCATTCATAACAAATATAAAAAGAAAATGTTCAACAACAAAAAAGTCTGGAGAAAGAAACAGAAGTACAATATTTAGTTTAAAATTTTACATTGTACATGAAGTAGCACATTATTTCCTTTCCGTGATTTCATTAATTTCACTGATGTGTATCTTCATGAGGATGGGATGGTAGTCAAGGCCTTTGATACTCATATTTGAGAAGGCAACAAAGCACTTTGCTTTCTACCAACCAACTTGTATTGCCATCTGGTCCCTATATACCCGACCTTTACAGCAAGATAATTTTGTTGGACTGCCCTTATAGAAACAACTGTCCAACAGGGATAAGAGAAAAATCTAAAGTTAATACTAGTTTTTGATCAGTTGTGCTCATGAAAGAAACAACATATTTCTTTTAAATTAATACAGGTTTAATCCAAATTCCCAGGGTTACCCTTTTCCTGACATTGATTATTTTCCCACCATCAGTCTTTGAGAACACTGCATGAGATTACACCCAAGTCTACAGTCCATGAGACTAGACTCAACCATACCTTGCCGCTGGTATATCTGGATCAGCATATATGGTTATGCCTCTTTTTGTTGGCCAGTACACTGAAGATTCAACACACTGTAAAAAAAATTTATAAAGAATGTGTTCTACAAGACATATAGTATTAAGGCTGCAAAATTACATGGGAATATCCTCATCCACACCGCCCTAGACCATTTCCAGACAGCACATAAACGGGCCAACAAAGAGCTGGAAGGTGGGGTGCGAGGCCACCACCTGCACAACTACAGCGGGGACCCATGGCAGTCACCGGGCGTTTAGGTAACGAGTACTTAAGACGTCTGGTGGTGACTGTCCTCTGTCTTGTCAAAGCCTCGACAGAGCTGAACGTGACTACCGAGTCTCATCACCCTGTGCTTTTATTCCCTTGTGAACAGCAGAATGCCCTATTGTGCAGAGGCCACGACACCGAGAACACGGGGCTTAACAAGAGGGGGCTGGCGCTGGCTTGTTTTTTCCAAAATTAAGCACACAAGCAAATCATGTATTTTTTTATAAATGAAATTGTCAGTTAAAAATTTCTGATAGAAAACATACTTTTGATGTCTACTAGCTTTAAAAGAATATCCTCAAACTAACATGTTAACTTTATATTTAATGAATACTTTAAAATACAACCTTATTTATATTTTTTAAAGAGATGCACTGCTGTTTCTTTTCAGATTTCTTTTTAGGTGAATCTCTCAATGAATCCACATTGCATTTTATATTTTTATCTGTAAAACAAAAAAGTGATTAAAAAAGCTTTCTTATTCTTTATAGGAGGGGGAACCAAATACGGAATCAGGGAAATATATATAATAAGTTAAAAAACAAAATTAACAGGCAACTGTTAATCAGACACTCTGCAGGGGAGAGGGAGGGAGATCAGAAGTGGGGAGAAGACACAGGAACGATGGTGATGGTGCCTGGTGAAGTGGTGTGGGGATTTTACAGGGACTACCCGAGAGGAGAAGCATACAATGCACACACACACAGATGTGAAAACTACATACATAAAAATATATTTATTAAAAGGCTTTCTTAGCAAGTGTTATTAACAAAAAAAGGAATATAACAAAAATTAAGTACTCCATGGGGATTACAACTGAGATGAAAAAATGTACAAAATGAAGAATGGTGTAAAATGTGTTAAAAAACAAAAATAAGTAGCCATAAAATCTTAATATATGAAATTATTATGGACTAGTGCTCTGTACTACATCTTATTTGAAGGGACTAGAT